CGTGCGTGCGTGCGGGCGTGGTGCTGTGCGTGAGTAGGGCCGTGAGTGTGTGGGACCGTGCGTACGTGCGACCGTCCGTGAGTGTGTAGGGCTGTGCGTGCGTGGTGCCGTGCGTGCGCGGAGCCGTGCGTGTGTGCGTGGGGCAGTGTGTGCGTGGGGCCGTGCGTGCGTGGGGCCGTGCGTGCGTCCGTCCGTGAGTGCGTGGGGCCGTGTGGGCGTGGCGCCGTGCGTGCGTAGGGCCGTGCGTGCGTGGGACCCTGCGTGCGTGGCACCGTGCGTACATGCGTGCGTTCGTCCGTGAGTGCGTGGGGCCGTGCGTTCAGGCGTGGCGCCGTGCGTGCGTGGGGCCGTGCGTGCGTGGGGCGTGCGTGCGTCCGTACGTGCGTCTGTACGTGAGTGCGTGAAGCCGTGTGGGCGTGGGGCCGTGCGTGCGTGCGGCGTGCGTGCGTCCGTACGTGTGTGCGTGGCGCTGTGTGTGAGTAGGGCCGTGAGTGCGTGGGAGCGTGCGTGCGTGGTGCCGTGCGTGCGTGCGGCAGTGCGTGCGTGGGGCCGTGCGTGCATGCGTGCGTGCGTCCGTCCGTGAGTGCGTGGGGCTGTGCGTGTGTAGGGCAGTGCGTGCGTGCGGCCGTAAGTGCGTGGGGCCATGCGCGCATGCGTGCGTGCGTCCGTCCGTGAGTGCGTGGGGCCGTGCGTGCCTGGGGCCGTGCGTGCCTGGGGCTGTGCGTCTGTGCGTGGGCCGTGCGTGTGTGGGGCCTTGCGTGCATCCGTGAGTGCGTGGGGCCGCGCGTGCGGCCGTGTGTGTGTGTGTGTGTGTGTGTGCGTGGGGCCGTGCATGCGTGGGGCCTGGTGCGCTCAGGCCGCCTGGGAAGGAACGCGGCGAAATGTCCCAGAATAAAGGGGCACGCCGGGTCCTGGGTGGGACGAACAGGGGGCGGAGGCGACCCTCGCCTGAGCGCGCGAAGCTGCGGCGCTCCCCTGGGATCTCTGCGCACTGACAGCTTTGGGTGCCGGGCTCCCCGACGCCGCCCCTCCTGTCTGAGCCCCACTGAAGACGGCTCCTGGGCAGGATCCAGCCTCCCCCTTCAGGTCCTTGGGTCTGTCTCCCGCTCCCTCTGCCCAGGAGGGTGGCGCCCTGTCCTGGGAACTTGATGAGGGCAGCCAGGGACAGGAAGTCTCGGCTTTCTCCCACGCAGGGAGGTCACCCCGAGACAGGCACGAGAAGGAGAAACCCAACATCAGCAGCTCTTCAGTGTCTCAGACGCTTTCACCAAAGCTCGGGCAGCTCTAAGTGATGGAGAATATACAGACGTGCGCACGCACTCAGCTGACAGCAGCACCGCCTTCACCCTGTGGAGGTGCAGTGCTTCTGAAACGGTGGGTGCCTCGTCCACGAGCGGACGGAAGCACAAACCGTGACCAGGATGCCCGGCTCACCGGAGAGCCTCAAGTGCCAGGCATTTCTCCCTGGTGTCCTGCTGGGCAGGTGGCCAGCGAAGGAGAGGGCGTCCTGGGAAGGGGTAGTGAGACTTCCTGGAAGGACCACAAAAAACAAGACTATGCAACAGATAACAGCGACTGCAAGGAAAGCAAGCCAGTTTCCTAAGACTCCAGTTCACTCAGGCTATCAAGTAAGCAGACTAAAGAAAAAACATCTCGCCATTCAGCTAATTGAACTAATCCCTTTTTAAATGGTAATCGTCAAAAATATCTGGCCCAATTGGAGCTCCCCATGAGAGGGTCCCATCTCTCCAGGACCCTCCGTGGACGCCCGCAGCCCTAGCAGCACTGGGGACTTCAGGGGCCTTCATACACAGACACCTTAATTAGCACATCCATTCCACAAGAGGCTCTGGACCCCCGCTGGAGAACTGGGAACCACCACTCCCACCCTTTTACCCAGAAAAGGCTGGGCCGACAGCAGTTAGCCGCCCACTCCTGATTCTAGAATGAGGCTGCAGAAGAACGAACTCGCCTGAAATCTAGAGCGAGACAGGTGACTGTAGGGAGAGGCGGCTTCCCCGGGACAGGTGCCAGCACCGCAGTTCAGAAGCAGGCAGAATTCAACCAGAAAATGTACACATTGCTCAAGGTCAAGTGTGAGCTCGCATGAGCGGGAGCCCCTGAGAGCCACCAGATGGAGATGTTCACATCTTCTTGCGGGTTTTTCCTCCAGGAAACCCATTGGGCGCTCCCAGGAAGACAGGAAGCCTGGGGAAGATCCCGAGAAAGCATCCCCCAGTGATGCCAAACTTTATCGTCTCCCACTACCTCTGTCTCCTCTAAGGAGCAAAGGCCTTCATCTGCTTGGGAAGTGGATCGAATCTGGTAGCCAGAGAGTGCAGTAGGAATCCCTGCAGCTGAGAGAAGGTAGGAGGGGGAAAAAAGTATCTCTTGCCCCAGTGGGAGGGGTGGGCACAGAGCGAGGTCTGGCAGACAGCTGGCAGGACGCCCAGTAATTCTCAGTGTCTAGTGCACCGCAAGTTGCCACAGCAACTGCAAACCTCAACACATGTGATGTCTCGCTAGATTTACATGAATCCTCCAATTAAGGCCTGCAGAAGTCAAGGCATGCTCATCTCCAAACTTAACCACCACTGGCCTCTGCATCTGCTGTCCTACAGGATGTGTATGACTTCTAGCTAAAAATTCTGAGGCAGGCAAGAAGGGGCCAGAGCACACACAGTAGGAGGCACTGCAGCAGTCATCAGAGCCAGGGGACACAGCCAGGACAGCAGGGACTGGAAGACAGGTCAGCCCAACGCAAAAGGGGCAGGGGAGGGATGCAGTATCCAGGAGCGAGGGAAAGCCAGGCCCTGGCTGGAACATGCCCTGCTGTCCCCCTTCCTCACTTGGAGGGCTCCCCATCAACCCCACCACTGTCTCCGTGGAGCTCCCCGCCCTTCTATTCTGAGACTCCATCTCATCAAACATCCTGGAGAAACGGAATTTGGGTGGGCAGGAATGGTAACAGCCTGCGCCTCAGCCTTTGGCAGCAGTCACAGTCCTTGCATCTCAGATCTCAGCCAAGTGGCTGGCCATCTCAGAGTGGATTTTGGATACAGTAGTTCTCCAGTGGTGACACGGCCAACAGCTGCCAGAGCTTTCCTTGATCCGGATACAGGCTGAACAAAATCTGGAACAATCAGAAATGCTGAATGACAGAGGTGCGGTATGAGAGCAATCAGATATAAACCATTTTGATATGACAGTTGAAAACGGATGTGATGATGAGGCTAGTGTGTGTATCTAGAACACCCCAGCCTGCTTACTCTGAATAGCTTTGTCTTTCATGTTAAAATATTCTGATTCATTACAGTGTTCAGCTACAATGGGCCCTGATTATTGATATTTGCCAATTTTAAGGATTAAATACCTGGCCATAAAATTAAAACACCAGAGGGACAAATGTGGTTTTCCCACATTGGAGAATAAAGGAACATGACCCCTGTGATGGTTACAGCACGTCTTTGTGGTAGCAGGTGTTTGTGGAATTTGTAAAGCACTTTATACATCGTCAAAAAGTAAATTAAATTGATGATAAAGTGAGATTATAGACGTTCAAGTGAAATTCCTCAAATTCCATTTTGGATGTATCCACAAATCACCTAAACTCCATCTCACAGAAGAAGGCTGAAGACCGGACGCAGAGCTCAGGTCGGCTCTTGGGGACCATGAAGACCTGGCCCGCCATGCCCGGTTCCTTGAAATCCCAGAGCACCTGCCAGGCCTTGCTGCCAGCAGGACTTCAGAACCACACATTCATGTGAGTAGGAAGTGGGGAGCCAAACTGGTAGCCAAAAATATCAAATCGTGAAGCTTTCAGAGCTCAGTGTAATTGGCTTTATATTTCCAGCATAGGTTTCCTTTCTCCAGGTCACAGATCTCCTCCCTCGTGGGTTGATTATTAACAGTTAACTGTACTCAGCTCAATGCGATGGACACTGACTTCGTATGCTACCCTGCTGTCCCCGTGTTGCAGCTGAGAGGAGCTGACCCAGGGCCACAGACAGTCCTGCACGCACACGGAGCCCCAACCCACATGCCACGTGTGCAGGTCATGAAACCAGCCAGCAGCAGCCACAGTCGTCATGCACAGGGGCCTGTCACAGGCTGGCTGCGTGGGAAAGCGCTGCCCCCAGGTGGTACATGTCGTGGAACACAGCTCAGACCGCCCTAGCCCACGATCACACCGCACAACAGTACCACCTCCCACCACTGTGGCCTCTCAACAGCTGCCCATGCACACCATCTCACAGCAACACCCAAAAGTGGCACTCACCCAAAATAACTGCAAAGCACAGCCACAACCTGTCATGGCCACAGACCACAGACAACCGACACAGCTCACACAACTACACACACATACCCACATGCACACACAAGGACACACAGCCACAGACAGGAGACCATGCCTCACCTGCACACAGACACACAACCAGAGACAGGGACCACCCTCACCTGCGCACACACAGACACACAATGAGAGAGAGGAGACCACACACCCATCTGCACACACACACACCCAGAGAACCACACACCCACCTGCACACACACAGACACACAGCCAAACAGGAGACCACATACCTACTTGCTGGGTAAACGTATTTTGAGTGCCACTATGTGACTCTGGCTCAGGCTACCTCAGGCCACAAAGCACACCAACACTGGCAGTGGGACCCGTGACTGTTGGCTCAGAGGGCGTCCATGTGGCCCTGGCTTTACCACCCTCACTGCTCAGGCTCCTGTGCCTTTCCCTTGGCGGGTCCATCTGCCGGGACCCCCCCAATGAAGAACAGCACCGCCCACTGCCCTGGGCTCAGCAAAGCAGCCCTCGCCCTCCCCTCATTCCCACACCCTGTTCCCTACAAGGGCATCTGACATTGGTTTAGCTCCGGGATGAGTCTGTTGTGAGTGTTCATGTATTTGGAAGGATGGAGATATCTGGCCAAATAAAATCAGAGATACCTCCCAGAGGGGGCAAACCTGAGCTTCAACACTCCCTCTCAAAGCGCACTGAGACCCTCTGGGCATCCATGATTGCCAGATGTGTCCCAACACACATGAAGTGCTACTGTGTGGGGCTCCACAGGGATGTGGTGAACCACTCAGTGCGGGAAGGGAGCCCACAGCCAGCTACCCAGCCTTCCACAGGGCAACACCAAGCTGCCTGGCCTCTGTTGTGTGACGGGACCACCGCAGAGGAGCACTACTACAGCCCTCAACTCCCTCAGCCTGCTGCCCCACACCGCTCAGCATCAAAGAAAGTCAAAGAATCAGGCGAAGAGGGTCAGGCACTGACCCCACACCTCAGGTTCCCCCTGCTGTACAGCCAAAGGCATGCAGGGCTTCCAATGACCCAACAGCAGTGCTGGGGCAGCCACAGTACTCACGGAGCACAGCACCACAAAGACAAACAGGCCCGTGACTTTCAGCCACCGCACACAGCACCTGCAAGAGAAAGGTAGGGCCTTAGTGGCAAGGGGTAGCAGTCCTGTACTTCCTAACTCAAGACACTTTTCTGGAAGCGTTGAGTAACTTCCATCTCAAAGCGTGTGTTTTGAATTCTTTCTATAACATATGAGAACACCCCATCCAAACCTACAGCCCCATCCAAAGGAGCATGGTGGAGGTTCCAGAGGTGAACAAAGTTAACCAAAGTGTTTGCACATAGCTTGTTGTTGGGGAAACTGAAGTTCAAGATTTGAGACTTTTTGAGAGCTGTTTAAAGGCTCCTGTTTC